CTTTATAGGACTATTTTCTCCAGAATTAACCATATTTCAGTTTACAAAACATTTATTAACAAAGAAAGTACAACATCATTGGCATAATACACCAATATGTACAGTTCTTTTTCAGTCTTCCAGCTCTCCCTCAGTCTCGTCAGGATCGTTTGAAGCATCTGACGTCAACTGGTTCTAGTTTTTGCCCAACATACTTTCTGGTCAGCTCATTGACATCTTTAAACTTTTGGTCTTTAAACTGGAGGAGACAATCATAAGCTTGATGAAGGTGGTCCATGAGACCTACAAGTCCTTGTTGCAAATTTATCGAAGACAGTCATACCTACGGTCACAATGCATTGAATAATCCCTTTATAGATATATGGCTGTTAGTAGATGAATATTTTGTAGTTAGTGATTAAATATTTATCATTTGGTATCGTTTCGGGATATCACAAGGCAGTTCCATCTGCTGGATTCTCTGGAACTAGCAGGTGAAGCTACTTCATTCTTGTACCAAACGAAGCGGCTTTTTCTTTTGTATGTGATAGGATGTGCAAACTTAATTAAAGTACCAAGTGGAGCTGCCTCCTTCTTGCACCAAACCCTTCAATTATCTGACTTAACTAACGCGACATTATTGCTAAACCTAACTATTTATTTTAATTCTCTTGATACCGACAGCAGATGGAAAATATTAAAAACAAGAAACAAAAATACATGAGAGAGAAAACTCAGTTTCTGTAGCAGTTGAATAACTGGTTGAGGTGGAGAAGAAGGGTGTTCGGCGGGCGCTAGGAAAAGCGAAAACTGGCACATCTCCGGGACCAGGTGGAATTGCTATGGAGCTCCTGAAAGGTGGCAATGCGAAACTAGTAGACCTTCTGACAGAGGTGATTAACCTTGTTCTAAAAGGAGAGGATATCCCAGATGACCTGAGGGCTGGGTACATATCATCAATATACAAGAAGGGTAATCGAAAAATATGCAGGATTTATCAAGAAATCTGCATGCAAAGTTCCGTGACAAGGATTATTGGAAGGCTACTCAAGGATAAGTTGGAGTAGGCATACATTACCCCGCGGGAGCAACCAGGTTTTACAGCTGCCCGATCATGTACCAACAACATATTTGTTCTTCGCCAACTCATAGAGAAGTCCCAAGAAAGAAAGCAGGAACTACTTATGGCTCTTATAGACCTCGAGCAGGCTAATGATAATGTTCCAAGAGAGAGTTTGTGGGTGGCACTTGAAAAAGCAGGCATTATTGGTTTATTGATAAGGGCTGTGAGGCACTTATATAACAACGACATGTACGAGATAAGATAGGGAAACCAACTTTCTAAGACTTTTCATGATACCAAGGGGTTGAAGAAAGGATGCAACATGTCACCAACTCTCTTTAAGATATACTTGCACGAGAGAGTAAAGCCGTGGTACGAGCAATGCGGGGACGTTGGGCCATTTATTGATGAGGAGTAATTGCTGTCCTAGTTTTTCATTGACGACTAGATCGTGTTTGCGAGAAGGAAGGTCTATCTCGAAGTAATGGTGTTTTAGCTGAAGACCATTTACGAAACGGCTGGATTAAAGATCAACTTCGAGAAGACTGAATACATGGCCATAGGCAATATGGATACTGGAGCACTTCTAGTGGACAAGGGGGTCCTGCAAAAAAGTTAGCATTTTCATATACCTGGGCTCTTATCTTGACGCTGCAGAGTCTTCTGAGCATGACTTCAGGAGGAAGGTGGAGCAAGTCCGTAAGGCTACCCGAATTCTACACCTGGAGCATACAGCTTTCCACCGAGAACAAGTGTAGAATATTGAATGCAATAGTGGAAGTTATTCTTACATATGCCTCAGAAACATGGACCATACACTCCCGTTTGTACTCAAAGGAGCAGACGGTTAAGGGGGATTACTGGAGAAGGTGTCTCCAGACTGGATAAAATTAAGAATGAGGAAGTTCGACAGAGAATGGATGTGGGTACAGCGGTTAATGTGGGCACACTGCCTAAGATGGTATATGCATGTAAGAAAAATGACAGAGGGATGTTGGCAAAGGCGAATCCTGGATTGAGTTCCGCCAGGGAAGAGATGACATGGACTTCACCAAAGCAGGTGGATGGAGAGGGTCCAGGAGAAAATGGCAGGTCGAGGTTTGGAGGAAGATGATTGGTGAGATAGAAGCGGGTGGAGCTCTGCGCTGACTAGGTGAGGCAGCCCTTATAGTCCGTGGTACAGACTCCTTTTTATCGAATTCGAAAATTCTTCTTTAAATAATTTTTTTCATTTACAGTTTCACCCACTTCGACTGATAACACTGGTTTTCCATCAGTTATAAAAACCATTTCATGTCTGTTGTTTTAAGGTTCAATCCAAGATTTCAACATTGATGATAATAAAGATACTTTTGCTATTTTAAATAAACAGAATTATGATCTCTTGCTAAGAACGTAGGCAACAAACTAAAATAGAAACTTAATATGATGTTATAGAAACTTAATATGAAACAAGAAGGGGAAATGGATTTCCAGGAATTGGAGAACATCTATAAAGAGAATTAATTATTAAAGGGTATAGCGGAAGGTAGGTATACAGTCTACAAATGTGGCTTCTTTGAGCAGATTAACATGCCTCATATTAATGGTAGTTCTATAATGCCCTCATAATTCATGTTATCAGCTTTTATTCTCACTACTTAAGTTCATTTTTAACTATCTTTAGTACCTTTATAAACAATCCTCATAGTTCTTGGAATATATTGTTGCAGGCTGAATTTTATTTATTACGCTCATAGATTTGGAAATAAGTATATACTATTGTTGACACATCAAACGAGTACAGATTTCTTATTTGAGCAGATTAACATGCCTCATATTAATGGTAGTTCTATAATGTCCAGCAGTAAGACCACGTTATTCAAACCATAAATTATTCCTTCAGCTCTTCTCAAACTTGTATTCAAATTTAAATAGTATTTATTCAGGAGTGCATCCTTATACTATCAGTCTAAGAAATAAGTACCTGAAATCTGTTCAATTATATGATTCTCTAAAGGTATATTGAGAATATACCTCTATTTTTCATCTCATTCATAACCAAGATTGACTTGCCAATGAAAAACATGTCTATAAAATATACCTGTATGTAAAAAAGAAAATGATTAGCGTGTAAAAATACATTTTCTTTACCAATACAAATTCCCAAAATGTATATATATAGGGTGTTTCGTAATTTCACAGCAATATTTTAGGTATGTGTTCACTAATACAAAATAAACAATAAGTTCATATTAACATATATCTGAAGCTCATTTATTTAACAGATATCAAAGGTTAAAGATTTATCATTTATTGTTACTATTTATTTATTATTATTATAACATTTAGAGTAATTGTTCAAAGGGACTTTAGTTACAAGTTAGGAACATTACATACAACAAAACCAGGAAAGAAAATGATAGAGGCATTCAGTTTGGAAATGTTTGACTGCATGCAGTTTTTCCACCTGACTATGTCCGACTACTATCTATTTGCAGTAATAGGTGCTTGTTCAGCAGCATTTCATTTCATATGAAAATGTACAACTAGATTGATGATTGATTGGTCACTAAAGAGCAATAGTTTTACCGGCATGGCATTCATAAATTGCCAGATAGATGAGAAAAATGTATGGAATGCAAAATAATGCAATGGACAATATTTTGAATAAAATATATTTAAACATTTTTATGCAAGACGTGTATTTCTGGTTTCAGATTTGCACACCTAGTGAGGAAAGTAAAAAATAAAAATTAGAATATTGATAAAATTAAACAACTAATTCAGTTCATGTAGAATAGATCTTCAGGTATAAAAGTTGAGCTCTCTTGAAGCCGACAAAAAAAAAAAAAAAAATACATTCATCCACAAATTAATGGAATAATTGGTTAAAAAACAATTACAATTATAAGTAAAAATTGTATATTATATATACAATAGTTGTGTACACTTATATACAATTTCTGTTTATATATATATATATATATATATATATATATATATATATATTGTATAGAAAAATCATTTAATTTACGTTTAATAAATCATATCACTAAATTCATTAAAACATGATAACCCCCTCACAGGCATTTCAGATATAAATAACAGATCAAATTTAATTAAGAGAACATCAATTTACTAACAATAACAAACCCATAATAAATTTATATTAGTTTATTTATTACACAAAGGAGCCAAGGTCAGTTTCTTTTTAAAATATAATAAATAATTAAAATTAAATGCCTTTAAGGGAATAAATTACAAAGAAATAATAAAATGTTGTCTATAGTGTAAACTAAACATAATATTGCAGCTCATTAAAGATTTGGTTTTGATTTAAGTGCTTTAAATATAAATAAATGAAATTGGGAATTATTCCCAACCAAATAATGAATTTTAACTTTTTATTCCCCTAAAAATTCTTATATCACATTCAAAATTAATTTATTAATATTTAAAAAAAACACATAAGTCTTAAACAATTTGAGTGAGAAAATCAATATTATAAAAACAAAAAAATAAATACATACAAAAATAAAATTGTCTCAACTTACTTTAAAATATTAATATAAATATACTTTGGATATACAATCAATACAATTTAAAAAAAAATAACTAGAATATTCACCATTTTAAATTAAATATGTTAATAAATCATAAATATAGAAAATATAATTCTTTTTAAACATTTGAACTATACTAAAATCTAGTTTGAATTGTAATACATATTTCAAATAATAATGCAAAGTTCATTGCACAATTTTATATAAAAAAATAAACAACGTTATAATCTGTACTAGTTCTTAAATTGTACAGTCTTTTAAAATAAATGGTAATTATTTTATAAAATACAAATATTTTCATATATTAATTTTTTTAACTATCACAACTAATTTTAAACAAAATATTAACAAGCACATGAACAATATTTTATTTAAACTTATTTAACGTCAAATGGTCCATCATATTTTCTACTTTAAGGCCGAGCAGGCATGAACATTGAGAATGGACTAGTGTCTCCACTTAAACCTGACTGTATATGCCTCATATGAACCTGCAAAAAAGAAATATAAATACAGTAAACACTTCTTGTTTTAAAAATTTATTATGTTTCTTTTATAAACATTGAAATTTTGATTTTTACTTCCACTTACGTATATATGTAATATATAGTGAGGGTAAGTATTGCGATAGAGAAAATTTTTGAATCTGAGTTTTCAACGGAAATACACGTTTTGGGTACCCTGAGACCAAATAACCAAGTCCCGAAAAATGGTCTGTGTGTATGTGAACACTCTAGCTCAAAAACAAAAAGTCCTACAAACTGATATTAAGTATTTAAGATAGTTGTGTAGGGTTGATAACCCTAAAGTGATTTTAAATCCCCCCCTTCATGGGGTACATGTAAATCATCGCCAAGTAGGTAACACTGCAGCGGCGGTGGCGCAGTCTGCACTAGAACTATTAATAGAGGAGAAAAAATGGGCGACCGAAACCAGAAGTAGACGAATACTCTAGCCTCTTCAAGACTACCTTTCATGCTGTTCTACCAGGGGAAGAGGCATGGAGTAGAACACTGAGACTTACCGGACCCATGGAGGTGAGGAACTATTGCAGCCGGCCGACCACCGATACCGACCACCGTACTTCAGTCAGCAAGTAAAAGATGTAAACTTTATACACCAAACCCCCATCTCTATACAGTGTTCAATAATTATAGTTCATTTCAATACAGTCCACTTTTTCATTTCAAATACCCAATCATCTGTACCATATCATAGAAAAAATGATGGTACAAACCCATTTTAATAGTTATATGCCTTAGATGTCGCCGCAACCTTTTCCTTAAAATCGGCTAACCAGAAGTGCCATTTTGTATCAACGCTGAAACATATTTTTACAATTTTCGCAAAAATGGGTGTAACGATTTTGATTAAACTAGGTGTATCATAGTATAATTAAGTGATCTTTAATATCATTAGGTCTTATCCCCGTTGATGTCACATTACAGGGCTTAAATGCCCAATGTTCATATATGTCTTCCTCTAAAGTATCTTAAATATGGTTTATTTTAAAAATTAATCATTTTGCATTATTCAGAGTTACAAAAAATACTACATATAACTTTTGAAAGAATTTGATAAGTTAATAGAGGAGAAAAAAAATAAAAATGCAGAAAAACCTGCGTTGCAATAGACTGTAGCGCCAAAACGAATGTACCAATTTCAATGAAACTTTGCTAGTCATTTTCTTGACACCCTTTAAATTTATCTATATAACATACTTTAACGAAAAGAAGCTGCAAAAAAAGTTACGAGGTATGGTAAAATTAAATTCCGAATAACTCAAAAAGTATACACTTTTTGTGGATATTGTATAGTTGTTTAAAAGTTCACGGATTTTCCTAAAAAAACAAAAAAAAATTTGTTAAAATTGGATAATTAGGAGAAAAGATATGGTCTCTAGATTTTTTAATATCTTTTGCTGCAAAGGTTATATCCTTTGCTTTGGTTTTTGAATTTTGAATATGTTACTTAGGTAATGCTAATTTTTAATAATAATACTAATGATTAAAAAAAAAAGTTTAGTCCATTAATTGGAATAGTCTTTTATTTATTTTTCTTTGTAACTAGGAAGGTAATGTTACTTTAAATGTATAATTGTTTGAAAATAACAAATCATTGTGAAATAATTAGCAGCTATGTGAAATATTTAGCGAAAAAATGCTAAATATAACTTTTGAAAGAATTTTATAATTGAATCAAGGAGAAAAAAAAATTGCTTAAACAGGTCGAAAATAAATCTCCGGTAATACAAGTCAGAAGGTATTCTTATAATATATCGTTGGAAAGCGGAGAATTTTAGAAAAAACAATATATAATTTAGAAAGTTGTAGAAGGTAACGGAGAGCAGTGAAAAAATTATAAATAATAATTTTTGATAACTGATAATATTTAACACAAATCACATGTTTTCAAGGAAATTAAATGAAATTTACTAACAAAATGTAAACTTTAAAAAACATTCTTACGTTTGTAGAAACTATTTAAAATCCACCTAATCAAGTTAATGGCATTGTTAAAAAAACTATTTCACTGTACTTGTGTGAAAGAAGACGTAAAATATAAAATCATTTCATGGATGTATAAATCATGTGTTTATAATCTAAAATACATTTACTGTAGTTAAGTTATTATAGATCTGATATTATATTTAAATAATTAGGTATCAACGTTTATTATGAAAAATTGTCATATAACTTTTTAGAAAATTAAATTAGTGAATAATTTGATAAATCTTCCCTTTGTGATATTCCAACATTAACCACTACTATTTCATTGTACTTGTGTGAAAGAAGAAGTGAAATATAAAAATATTTCATAGATACGTCTATAACCTTAAATATATTTACTATAGTTTAATAATTCTAGATCTGATAATATATTTAAATATTTAGGAATCTATTGTCTTTTTATTCTGAAAAATCATCATATAACCTTTTAGAAAATTAAATTAGTGAATAATTTGATAAATTTTTACTTTGCGATATTCCAACAGAATCCACTTACAATTAGTGTGACAACTTTTGACCTGTCAATGAAAGACAATGCAAATCTCTTAATTCTGTTTTAATAAACTTTGCAATGGAAAATAACAGTTTAATAACTAACAGTCGTACAATCCATAATCAACCGGCGATATAATAAATAGGACTTTTGTTATTTTAATATTAGTATTTATGATTTGTTAGCTGCAATCTTTTAGCCTTACCACAGTTAAAAATGCAATTAATATAATTTTATAATAGCCCAACATGGCCAGAAAATAATTTCTATTCAAAGTTGAGCAAAGTTCAAAGAGTAAATGAAAGTTGTGTGATGCACGCGCCAGATTTTTTTTGTAATCTTTGAATTTTTTTCAAAACGAACTTTCTGCAGCCAAAAAGGGAGGTTAAATGTTAAAATTTTTAGAATATAACGATAAAATTGATATCTGAGAGACTTGGATTATTCCAATAATATATTATAAAATTGAATAAATATCTACTAAATTTATTATTCTACATAACAGTCAAATACATTTTTTTAAAGTTCTTACCTCAACATTACTTTCAAATATGTTTTTATTTGCAGGAGAAAGTTTCTTTTTAATTGTTTCCATCGATGTAGTTAAAACCTCGACCTCATATCCACTCCTATCCGATTCTGAAAGACTCTGAAAAAATGTTTGTATAAGAAAAGATCCATTGTCAGATGTATCTAACTTAATAAATTGAAATCATAATTTCAAAATAACTTTGAAATAAATAAATTTTACTTAAGGTAAAACCCCCAGTTGTCTGCATCACTGCAGTTATTGAGGAATGTTAAGCATTAGGGTTAGTATAGAGGTGGCGAAAGGCGCTGATTTAGATCAGAAATCCATCTTAAGCTCGCATATTCTATCATCTCTCACTACTTGTATAGTTTTATAGGTTGAAAAAATCGTTGAAGATTAGAAACCCGACCTTACATTTGTTAAGTTGAAGATTAGAAGGTGTTGCCCAACCTTTCAGGGCGTCCATGTCCTAAATATTTAATATTTTTGGCAAGAAACACACATCCCTTGACAATATCATTACAGTTCTTTAACTCTGAAGGCTGCCAGATTTAATTCTTCAGGTTTTTGAAAATTGGGTAAGAGATGACGAAAAATGGAAAATAGTGCCAAAAACTGGCTCATATGGATATTTTTACATTTTTTCAATTTTACTATAAAAAATAAATAAATGAGACACTGTTTCACATACTTATTTTAAAATTAGAGATATTTACTGATTTAACAGAACTAAGTACTCACACGATTGAAAATGGGACAAACACGTTTTAAAGTTTACTTAAGGATGTTGAAAACTGGGGGGTTTTACTCTACATTGATAATAGTAATTCATATAAAAAATTGATTCAAATTCATACAAAAACTAAAATATAAGGATTAATTTCTGGTTTAAATGTAGTGAATTTTGTGTTTTGCGAACTAATCATAATAAGTTCCTTGACTTCCATACCCTTTTACCTAAGTTCAACAAATGTATGTCTACATTTACATAAAATTAGGACATCCAAACTAAGATGACCTCAACTTCCTAGATAACACATGAAGAAAGACGAAAAGAAGTTGAATAAGGAAGTTATTTTAAATACAAAACTGTGAATATTAAAATAAACAATAAATTAAATCAAGCGTGTAGTAAAACATCTTATCTTAACATGTTATCTCAGCAAAACATGAGAGGGCTCTTGGAGTGTGGGAGCGTAAGATTCTTAGAAAGATTTACGGGCCCTTATGCGAAGGTGTTTGGAGGTCACGATACAATCGAGAGTTGCGAGAAATCTACAGGGACGCAGATCTCCTAAGTGTCATTAAGGCAGGACGAATAAGATGGTTAGGGCATATCGAAAGGATGGCAGCGCACCGAGTACCGAGGAAAATATTGTATGGGCGACCTGGAGGAGCAAGAAGGAGAGGAAGGCCACCACTCCGTTGGCTGGAGGATGTTGAGGCGGATTTGAGACAGCTTGGTGTCAGGCGGTGGAGGGCTGTCGCATTGGACCGATACGAGTGGCGACGTATTGTTGAGAAGGCCAAGGTCCCATGCGGACTATAGCGCCGAGGAGTAGGTAAGTAAGTGTAGTAAAACAAGGGTGAGAAATAATAAAATGATAAGAATAGAAAATTATAGATATTACAACCAAGTGGTTAGGCTGCTGGTTCAAACTGAACCTCCCATCCCTGACAACATACAAAATTTCAAAATTAAACAAATTCACTGAAAGGAAATGCTACTGTTAATTTAAATAATTTAGGCTAAATCATTTTAACACTTATTCATGCATCTTTCAAAACATCATCAGGTTTAATTATGATTATTATGAAGCTGATTGTGTTCCGTTTATTGGTTAAATTTAATTACACTTTAGATAGGGTCAGAGGGAGTATAAATAAAATTGACCAAAAGATCATATTAAATCCACAATAATCATAATGAATCTGATGATGGCTTAACAAACAAAAATAATATTGTGACAGGTGTATGAATAAATGGTAAGTTCACAAAGCCTAAATAAACAAATTGACTTTTCTTTTCATTGGTCAATGAATTTATTGTTTTTATCATGAAATTTTTGGGAAAATCCAGAATATAAGCATATATAAATAAACCACATCTCATAATGAAGTAAAGAATAAAAAATGTGAGATCACTTAAATTAATTTTTATGGAATTATAAAATACATATTAAATTATATTTCTTCTTCTTTTGTGGCACTACAACTCAGCATAGTCAGGGCCTCCAACAACTTCAACCGCCAGTCATATCTAAGAAGTGCAACTGCCTTCCAATCATGGACACCAAAGATAGCTAGTGCATCTGTGGGGACTCAATCAGCCATCTCAGTATAGGCTTGCTTACTCATAGTTTTTTGTAAATTCGCACTTCTAATAATTTTCTCAATATATGCTCCCCATGCATCCTTTGAACGTGTACAGCCCAACATGATCTGCCAATCCTTATTATTCTGATATCAGCATTTTGTTATAGTTTCTCTAACAGCATATCATAAGTATAGTGCTGGACAACCAGGCTTCTCAAGCTACTTAATACAACATTCCATTTATCCTTGATTCCATGATCCTTGATTATAATTCCATCATAACTTTTTTATTGATTAATATTTGTTCACCAAATTGTGATCACCTTGAAAGTAAGTCACATTGACTTTAATGCCCCTTTCCAATAGTTTCTGCTATTGTTCAAAATTGTTTTTAAAATCACTTATTGGTATGTTCTTTGGCCCTTCCAGTAATTTTTGTTTTACTTTCCATACAGTAGCACAATATTTTCCTTTTAATTCCTTTTTTGAGTTTAGGGAACCAAAATAAGTCACAAGAGGTAAGATCTGCTAAATAGGGAGGTGAACAAAATCAGTCAACAACTATTTCAGAAACAGAGGGGTGTAGGCAAGTGTTTTGTTGTGGTGAAAGAATCGATTCCATGAGGCCGGGGTCGCCGAGAGGGCTAATGCATGTGCAGGTGCCCAGAGAGGATGGAGGGAAGGAGAGCTTTTAAGTGTGGCATTAATCCCCTCCCCCCCCCTCATCCCCTGGCCTGGGAAAACCCTGTATAACCTAAAAGGCAAGGAAGGGGAGAACAAAAACAAAAAAAAATCAATCTACTGTGCACCAAAGATCCACCATCTTCTTAATTTCTTCAAAAGCTTTAATGAGAGTATTTATTAAAATGTGGTACTGATGGCTGGTTGTATTGAGGCATAAACTTTAACATTTTAATTTTGCTTCGAAATTCCCAGAGACTCCCCCATATACGGTACAGCAATAGTCAAAGTGAGGAAAAATTAAGGAAGTTACTAGTAGCCTACGGGTTTCAAGGGGAAATAGGTGTCAGGAGTAATTTAGACATTTTAAAGTGAAAATGGTATGGTGGGAGATGTTGGATATATGATTTTTCCAGGAAAGCGTTTGATCAAAGATCATTCCAAGGTTTTTAATGGAGGGATAGAATTTCATGGGATTATCATGTAGGAACAGAGTTGGTAATTGGAGCCTATTAAGATTGCCTTTATCTTTTTTGCATTCAAATTCAACTTGTTAGCTCTCGTTCAATCACAAATCCTATTCAAGCCTTCTTGAAGTTTTTCTGTGGCAGCTAATGGGTCGGTAGGCAGGAAGGACAGATATATTTAGAAATCATTTGCATAGATATGGTATTGGGAGTGATGGATCAAGAGGGGAAGGTCATTAATATAAATAGCAAATAGAGTAGGAGATAGAGAGGAACCTTGAGGGACACCACAGGAGAGGGGGAGAGTTTTAGATGGAGGTTGACCTGGGACAACTACATACTGGGACCGATTTGAAAGGAAGGATTTTAACCAACGCAGGGTACTGTTGGATAGAGGAACATTGTGCAATTTAGTGAGGAAAATGTTTTGGTCAACTGTGTCAAACGCTTTGGAAAAATCTAGAAGGATGAGGATAGTAAGGTTTTGGTGTTCAATGGAGTTTTGTAGGTCATAGGTTATTTTAAGGAGAGCGGATTGCGTTGAGTAACCAGGTTGAAAGCCAGATTGGAATGGGTTGATAAGGGAACGTTCCTCTAGGAAGTTGGAGAGTTGATTTTTTACAAGGTGTTCTAACGGCTATGATAGGTTGGAAAGGAGAGAAATAGGTCGGACTAGGGCAGTTTTCCAGGAGGATGGGAATATGGAGTTTTGCAAGGAAAAGTTGAAGATTTGGTAAAGAATAGGAATAAGTACACGGAAGCTGGATTTTATTAGTTTCACTGGAATATTATCAGAACCATAATCATAAGTGTGGGATTTTAGGATAGTGGAAAGTAATTCATCGTAGGCCACATGGGAGAAAAAGAAGTGTTCCAGATTGAAATTATGATGTTTGATTTCGAAAGTAGGAGAAGAATTGTGAGTGAAGAATAACAAGGTGGCTACCAAATTGTCAGAGTAAAATTCCCTGACTATTCCCTGTTTAATAAAAGTTTTCCCTGACCAATATGTTGAGGACTGATGACCCTACCCCGTGTACTTAATTGGAAATCGGGATGTGGTCTACCAGGATGTTAGTAGCCCCCCTGAGGTTCGGTCCATGGACGGTCTGTTTCGGGAAAAGAAATATAGGTCCTTGTGCACCTGCTGACTCCGAGCAGTCATAATCCATGGATCTAGACCGATTTGTCATTGCCCTTGAAGCCAAGGACACTGCCAGATTGGCCCCAAAGGGATCGGCTATCGAGCTAGGGGTAGCCTGCTGCTGTACCATGGAGACCATGGTTCGTAGCAACGTGAGGTTGGGTGACCCCCTCCAGCTTATCTGAGCTCCTGCAAGCAGCATACGTCTGTAAGGAGACCACATCTCGCGGCTAAAGATCTTCATGGTCTGTAGTGCCAACAGAACTATTTAATTTATCATATATGATTGAAAATTGAAAGATTAAAGTAAAAAAAAGTTTTGAGAAGGAGTTAGTCGAGGGTGCGGTCAAATAAATAAAAAAAATTAAAATATATAAATAATTTTAATTTTTGCCGACGTTTCGACCCACTTTGCAGGTCGTCTTCAGGGCGTTGGATGTGGCACTGCGGGAGGCAGTTGAAACACTAAAAAAAAGTTTGTTCAGTCTTTTAAAAAACAAACATAATGT